ATTTCAGAGGTTTCCTTCCGGTGTACAACAAACTGGGTTAGACGGTCCAGACGGCAGAATCCTTGACATGAAAGGGTGTGTTTTTCGTTTCTTGTCTCTTTAACTGCATTTAATATTCCTGAATGCTATTTCAAGTTTCCGTTTTCTACTAACCTAAAAATGTTCGGGATAAATTCTTGAAATATAGCTATACGAATGTGTTTGTCATTGAAAGATATTTCTATAGCTAAATTAGAAGTAACACCATGCTCAGATCACCAAGGTACAGAATAGGTTACGGTCTCTCCCGCTATCGGAAACATCATGTACACACATTTTAATTGCAAAATTACTGAATTTACTGACGGGCATGATCGCTCAGTTCAGTAATCTTAAGTTGTTACGCGTAGGATCAATAGTTTTAGATAAGGGGATTCCACCACGTGATTTGTCAAAATGTCTAAATAAAACTATGGAGACAGAATTTAAGTGATCCTGATTAATGCCTTTATTCCCTTTGCTTATTGACTTTGAGGAGGATTGATTAATTGCACTCTAGGAGGCTGAAATCCAATTGTCAGTGTAAATCTTACGAGTGAAGGCGTTCACTAAACTGACGTTGGTCGAAGCTGCAATAGCTACATGGGTGTTTGTGGTTAACAATAAAGCAAGAAGTGAACTCGCACTCAGGGGCTTAATGTGTGGATGACCGTTGGCAATTTAATATAAAGATGACTTCCCCAAACTGATAACCGCGCTTTTCAACTCCCATGTGATATACCAGATAATAGAACAATAATCTTGTCCTGCGGGCAGAAATAATTGAAAAATACGCTTTACCCCAACAAAGTTCGTGCTTTAGGCAACCAGATAAAATCTAGAGTGTTTCCTATGGTACATATCTGTTCCACTATTCTTACCGCTTGAGATTAAAAGTGGAAGGGCCAGCCGTGATGTACCGAAAAGTTGTCAGCAAGAACATTTTACACGGCCAATACAAAGTTGAGGGATGTTTAGCTACGCATAATTTCTAGTTGTATATGATAAATGGAAGTACACAAACGTTCGGGCTGATACTGTTTGATAAAAAGGGCTTCGGCCAAAACGTATTTCTCTATAGAAAGTGAAACGGAAAAGTACGGACCAAGACGATTTGCTTTTATTTGGAGAAGACCACTGGAAATCCTGAATGAGATTGCCAAGTGACTCTAGTGGCCACTCTAAATTCATCTGTTAAAATATATGCATAAGAGAGGGTTGAGAAGAATAAGGAGGACTGGGATTGCCATTTCTGGTATCAAATATTAACAATTACAACTGATAAGACAAGGAGTTTATGGGATTATTATAATAAGATAAAAGATTTTCTGACTTCAGCCATTAGGAAGGCATGATATAACTTTTCGAACTTCATCCGTGATTTCCGTCGTTCTACTTCGTTTCCATATGCTTCTGTTGGCTCAGAGTTCTGAAAAACAGTTTACTTTAATCTGTTGCACTTATGATAGCAATTACAGGAGTGGAAGGATCTAAATGGGCGGGTGATGACCTAGTCATATCTGTACCCATGAGGAAACAAAGCGGATTTCTGGTGTCCAGGTATTTTTTTATGAAGTGTCGACCTTTACAGGCTGACAGTGACCTTTACACATTATTTTCTGATGCCATTTTGCACAACTGCATAAAAATTCAAAAACTGCTGTGTTGTTTATGTTAGAAAGAGAAGGCCTGGACGTTTCTGATCATTTTCGTGGGGTATGAATACAAAATGAAGCCAGTCACCCGCTTGAAACCCTGATTTTGGAGTGGAGGTCCGGTAATGCTTAGAATTCCCCCTTCTTCCATTGACAGTATAGAGGGAATACTGTCTTGCTTCTAAAATTCTAAAAGGACTGAATGATGTGGTGCAGTTTGGTGTCTTTTATGAATTAGCATACATAATGACCATTCATAGGCACATGTAAAGGCTAAAGCAAAACACGCGAAATTTGACATATCGGACATTTTCTTTTCTTGTTGGCATTACGGAGGATGAAAAAATTTTCCGGGACTGGTTTTCTTGGCGGAAGACACTGTAAACTACAAGATGAATTCTTATATCTTTACTTGGTGATCATGGATCCTCATTAAAATAACCTCCGGTCTGTCTGCTTTGTGTGCCGCTGCCCCATTCATTTGGAATAGGTGACCTCGATTGATCGCACCTACTGACGTTTATTTCGACTCTTGATTAGCACAGATGCTCAGGCGTCAAGTTTCCGACAGGACAAACCCACGCTTTTTTCAGTGTGTGATACGGCAAGGATTACGTATGTGGCCGTCGAGGATGTGAGGTCAACTTAAACCACGCACAATAATTTCGTTTCGTCTAATATCAGATGTCACGGAGCTGTGAGGACTAGTTTATTCTGTACACAGGGCAGGTTGCTGTAAGTGGCCAGGTTGCTGTAAGTGGGCTGTTTGCATGCAACAGAGATGAGCGTCCGTTCACGGAGAGTGTCAGTCGCGGTGTGTAGTTTACGCAGGGGTGATAGTCTGTGTCAGTAGGTGGGGGTGACTGGCTGAGTGTTGTTCATGAGATTGGACGGATTAGGGGGACGCATAATCACAGGGGCACATGGGTATCAAGCCAGGTCGTTCGACGTGCCAGAGGTGATAATAGTTTGTGAGGGCAGTCGGGAGTCACTGCAGCTGGACAGGAGGGGCCCCAGTTCTAGCCGGCGGGGTTGATCGTGTGTCAGCGGCCTGTCAACGATAGTCGCGGCCATCGACCGACAAAACGGAGCTGGAGAAAAGGGGGACTGGAGCGGCTGCTACAAGTATATGCGCGGGGGGAAGAAAATGATAGCTGTCGTTTAACAAATTCACTAACATTTTAACTCTCCTGCTTTGACAGTTCGACCATCGGTTTCGATGATGTCCACCGTGTGCCCCACATTTGCAGCAGCAATGGGAGCAGGGACGGTGACTTACGCAGGGGTTTATAGTGTCAGTAGACTTGCGTAGCATCTACCTACACTCTCTCCTCCTCTCTCGCCCGAGCCCGGTGTCAAGACAGAGTCAAGAAGACCGGAGACGAGAGAGGCCGCAGGTGGATGGCTCGGACGGATCCTCACCTTGGCGTTCCAACACACCCCCTGGTCCACACAACAAATAACCAGGATTTCAACCAACACAAGAGAGATTTTGAGACTGGCACGGTCGAAGCCGCACCTGGGCGTGCCGCCAACGCCTGGATCGGATCCCACACTGTGATGGGAGTGCCATAAAGGCCACATTAAAAAGGAGCCATTACAGCCTGACTCTCAGACCGCCTCCGGTCGAGGAGGAGGTCCAAGTTACCCCGTCAGTTGGCAACCTTCCAAGCCACGGCTTTTAGCGCACCGTGATAGCTTCAAGCGCGTCAGATTGTTTATAGTGAGGGGAAAATGCGCTAGTCGTCGACCTCACTCTCCCTTCCCACTCCCACACCCCAGCCGCTGTCCGAGCCGGTCAGCAGACTGGAGTGGGGAATGGGCGCGGTGGCTGTCATGGTCGACTGACCATGACTGCGCGCGCCACGGCACGACCTGGCCCCCCATAAACACAAACACCAGGATTTCACACAACGGGGTTGAACGGCGTGTCTCTCACTTGCGTGAGAGGGCCGTGGAGGGTGCTGTTTCAGCCCGTCCACAGCCCACCAATCCGCCACTCCACGCAACACACACAACGCGACGAACTGCGTGAACCGAGAGCGGGTGTCAATCAGCAACCTTCCTATCCACGACGCTTGACGTGTCGGGATAGTCTCGGACTCAAGTCACCCGTGCAACCGAAGCCGCATGGGGACCGAGTCGAGATGCACACTTCCCACTTGCGTGGGAGGTGGCAGTTGGGTGCATGAGGTGTGTGAGTGTTGATTTCTGGTGGGGTGATGGTGATGGTGGTGGTGGAGGAGGTAGGGAGTGAGTGAATGTGTGATGTGGCCGGCGGTTGTCTACCGCAGGTCGTCGTGGATGCGCATGTGGCCGAATAGGCCCATGCGATGCCTGAAAGTGCGAGGACAGTGTGGGCAGTTGAGACGAGCTTGGTGGGTATAGGTGGGTGCTCCAGGCACTGGTT